CCTTTAGGTTGAGTGATGAGCATGGACATAATTTCCTCCTCTCTATCCCTCTGAGGGATACCGTGTCTTGATAATATTTATGCCGGGAGAGATGAATACACGAAATCCCCACTTATCAATGCAGAGCGAGCCTGCTCGTTCCCTGTTACTTATGGGTTCCCAGGCCTCAGAGACTCACAGTTGCACCAACTAGGCACCATTACAGCATTGAAATAGGAAAATCTCCTGCAGGTAGCCCCAAAGAAGTTGTTCTGTATGCCAATCATGATGCCAGGACAAGTAGCAGGCAAAATTGCAAACTTGTTCTTTGTGACACTGCTGCTTACACAAGCACACCCTTAATAATGATGTAAATATCAGAAGTCTTAATAATTAGAAAGTATAAATCAGGAAGTGTTTGCCAGCATGCTTAATCTTAGGATGCAAGTAACAAATTGTTATTTTCTTAATGTGCTATTAATTTTCTTTGTCACAGTGTAAACATTCAGATAGAATTCAAATGGCAACTTTCAAGTAAATGCATTTAGACAATGTGCATCTTCTACAAGTTGTATTAAGTTAATTTTGCTGTCTAATGTTGAAAAACAAGTATAAGGTGTCCAGGAAATGTGACTTGTGCCCAACCTCTCCTTATTTGGCAAAAAGTGTGGCTAAATGTGCAGTTAAAACAATACTGTATATTAAAACTGACAAAGCACATGCCAAGTTGATAAAAAACACATTAACCAGATTCGAGAGGCTCATAAAACAGCTGGCAACATCAAGACTGAAGTGTGTTCAAAACCAAACAAAACAGGAAGGAAAGTTGTTTCAGATTTTTTTCGTCTCTTTTCTAGAGTTTTCAATTAGAGCACAGAAATATAGACTGACCTTCTGGTTCTTAGAAGGTTTTTGGGTAAAAAAGATGGCTCACTGCCCCAATGTGCCAACAAAAATGTTGTGCCAAGCCAAGCATTTGTTCTGGGGAAAATAAATGAGGACCTTCTCCCCTTGAACAAATACTGCGGCCACTTTACTAGCCCTGAGCTTGACAAACTTCATTACTGATTTGATGGCAGACTAGCTCCTAACACTCGGCAGGCAGCCACTTTCACTTGCTAACACCCCTGGTCCCACTTCATGCTGACCAAGTGCTGATTAAACTTTGCGCCATTTCCAAGTCAATTAAATATCGCTCCAAGGACTTTTCATTTTGTATTCTTGGCCTTTGCTTGGGGTATAAGTACTAACATCCACACAGACCCAGGGCTTCTCATTAGTCACCTTATCTGAAGCGTACTTGAGCATTCTCAGCTTGCATGACTTCCCAGGCAAGGCCTTATGGCTCACAAGATATACAGATGTATTAATTTAAATATACATGTATAACCATTTACAATGAAATTGCCTGAAAGCTAAGCATGGAAGGGATAATTAAGAAATGAGAAAAAATAGTTTTGGCAATTCGAGATAACTAATTTCATACGTAAACTTCAGATCAGGAGGTCTCTTGCTTGGAAAAGTGTTTCTTAACCCTAAGATGAATAAAATCTTGGCCAATGAAATGGTATGGTAACCAAACAAAACTGATAGCTTAACAATATTGCTGCCTTCTAGTCAATTGGCATTTACATTTTATCACTTTTACCACTAAATTCATTCCTTAATGTGAATGGCACTTACTTTATTTCACTAAGGCAAGCCACTCATCACCGAAAGGTGTTTATACTGGAAGAAAATTGCTAATAGCTTGGGTTTAGGTTAAATCTTCTTTAGTTCCTGAAAACAATTTCTGAGCCAATTTCTTTTATTTTCTGGGGAAATGTCAAGTGAGTTTCAAACACTCCCTTCCCGATCTTAACAAAGGTCAAATAGCTTGGAATACAATGTTCCAAGAATACACTTTACCAAATAGATTCACAAAATTATTTTCTGGAAGGATGACAAATGATTCCATTCAACATTACCAGTGAAGTGAATTAGTTCAGGTTAATGTTGAAAGAGAACACAACTTTTAAAGGAAAATAAAAAGGAAAGCTATACTATTAAAAACAAAATCCTTTTTTCTTCAACATTCTTAACTTTTGTAATAGATTACATACAGACATTTTACGACAAATTTGAATATACAAGATTGAAATTTTCAGTCCCTGCAAACAGGTGCCGTGTTGGTAAAATTTTGAGGAAGTGATTGAATGCATAGATCTCATGAAATGTAGAAAAAAACATGGGCACACCCAATCCTATTAAACAAAACATTTAGATCAGTCAACCTGTCATTCAATTCAGAAATCAGGAAGTTCCAAGGTAGATGCATGCAATTTCAGCATCAATTTCCCCGTCTGCCTTGCTCCCTATAGGCAACCAGATCGTAGATTTGTCAAACCCTGCGTGTGGAAAGCAGGTAAAACAAGGCATGTTAAATTATACTGCCATGTCCAGTTGCACTTCAAAAAACAGCATTGATCAAATACATGCAACATCCTCTTTAGAAATGCATTACTGGTATGACATTCAATCACCTGAGAACAAACATTGGAGTCCAAAGGGATAGCTAAAGAACCACTCAAATTCTAACTAACTTCTGGGTGGAATCACCACTCAACTGGTTTTTCATAGAAAAGGTCCCAAAGCATTACTTCAATCCCTATTTTTCGTTTACATGTCCTTAGGGTAAACACTCATTTGTTTCTTCATTAAAACAAGGACTAGTGAATCTGTGATTAAAATAATTCAGTAAGTATCAAAAGCAATAACCAATAATGCTATACAAGGATTATGGATATGTATATTTAGTCCCAAGCTATAAGCAAAAAATAAAAGTTTTTGCTATAATCTATTCTCTATCTTTATGAAATCTATTTTATCAATCTTTACATCAGAGGTGAAAAGGAATTCATAAAATGCACAATTCTTTTTGTGTGCATCAAATCATTTTCAGAACATTTCTACAAGAATGGTAGGATAATAGGCCCTCTTCACATTTTCTTTTACATAACATATGAGTTATGGCACAAAACCTCAGCAGGACTTAGACTCAACGGCACAGGTAAGCTGAAGCCATTTCCTTCAAAACCATTAACCAGCTTTAGCTTCCACCTTCCCTTGTTTAGTATAACATGGACACTATTTTGCTGTTCCTTCATGCATGCATAATTGCTTTTATTATATCCTAGCCATATCATGTATTGAAGGTATAAAACATATGACAACTGTTTACAAGTGGACCATGATTAACTTAAACCACCTTTTTGCGTCCTTTGTGCGACCATGATACTGGCACCGCTGTGTTGGTAGAAAGGAGGTACAAGCATCGCTTTGGTTGCAGAATGAATGCTTCACGATTGGCCAGTTGTCAGCATATTAAGAATTATTATTTATTTTACTCTCAAACGGGGCCAGGGCCGTACTATGGGATGTGGAAAGGATGTCATCTAGTGTAAAGGGGGCTTTAAGTATCATCAATGCTTTTTTTTTTTTTCAAATACTTGTGTGTTTCCTTTACTTATGACTAAGCTTGTTGAGTTCCACATGTTCAAATGCTTATTGATTCAAAACTGATCACACCTTCAAAGCTTCCGAACACAAAAAATTCCATTAAAACACATTCTGACAACATTTTCAATGCCTTTTCGTTAATGCCCATCATGTATTTTGCATTTTCCATTTGTTGAAAACACTGCATGTAAAGTTGCTTTCTGAATCAAGTTTAAATTTTTTTTGTTAGTACTATGACAGAAATTGATTGCCATCTATCTCCACCAAGTTATGCAGTAAAAATATTTTCAATATAGCAGCTTGGAGTCATAATTTCTATGGGATCAACTCAATGTTCTGAAGGTTCACTATTCAGAAAACTTAAGGAGCCTTGATCTAAAATTGACCGCTATTCTGAAGAAAAAAAAAGTTTTTTATTCCAAAGGTTCGATAGGTTTGCTTCAGGAATTGAATTAGTTGCGTAACTGGGGTGAGCATGACCTCCATGTCAAAGAAGCCATTTTGTTTTCTGTACATGTCCACGGAGGTCAGTGTTCACTCCTGCGAAATTTTGTTATCTTTGTACTATCTTTACATTCTATCTGTACCTTTGGAATAGCAAACCTTTGGAACTCCGGACCTTCAAAATATCGAACCTTCGGGATAGAAGTTCACCCGTTTCTTTGAGGATCAATCACAAAACTATAGCATAACTTTAGTACAAAATAGTACTTCCTTTTCCTTTAAAAGTTAAGCAGGTCTTGGTAGCCCATAGGCATTAAGGGATCTTATGAGCCATAATAACAAACCCTTAACCATCTCCTGAAAACACTCACTGCTTTAACAATTGCCAAAGGTACAACAAAGCCATGGAATTTGAAAACATTTTCTAAATCCCCAGAAGAAGAGAATAAAAACAGAGTAAAGCTTAGAGTTAAATTATCACAGGAGGAAGGAGCTTTGCCTCGCTTTATAAATGGCGATCTACAGCTCCCTTAACAAGCAATTCACTTTTAATGGCTGTTGGGGATTGTGCAAACTTAAGCCTGTGGAAATGTGAAGAATGACTAAAGCGAAAATTATTGGTCCTATCAGGATAAAAATGCATATCTAATGTCCCCATCACAGGTAGAGAATAATTTCTAAGCAGTCCTTCTGTATGATGTGTGTGTTCTGGAGCACAGGGCATGCATATCCAACAAAAGATAACGGGAGACGTCTTGTCATTTCTATTTGAAAGGTTTCAATAAGTGCTGCTGTGCCGTTATGATTACAGCACAGATTGCCACGAGCCCAACGTGATGTTTCGGATATGAGGCTCGAACCAAATAGCGACCCCTTTGAGTTGCTGTGCCCATGCATGTAATGGGCAAACCCAGAAGAGCTTTCTCAGTCAATAATCATGCCAGCCTTCAAGAATATTATTAAGAAATGAGTTTGAAGTGAATGCTCTAGGGTTTCAACATCTTCCATATTCTTTGTACCTTAGAGAAGCTTCTGTCAGTCTGTCAATTATAACACAGTAAGAGCAGTGATTATCTTACCCGTATTTTGACAATCCTTGCCCTTCCTAGGCCATGTGCACAGTGCTTTCGCATCAGGGGTTTCTGAAAAAAGGAATATACAAGTCTTATTATGATGATGGTTACATTATTTGCAGAACTCACAGGGTTAGGCAACTAAAAAAAAAAAAAGATTCATTTTATAAATCAAGATTTCTATTATTTTCTTTCACAGCACATACATGGACATAGATATTAAGTCTCTAAAATACCATAACCTATCACAACAAACAGGAAATATATTTTCTCTCCATAATTCATTGCTTTCATACCCTGGACAGTTCTTTAAGGAGGCTATCACAGTTGCAAATGTCCAAGTACAACAATACCTATTAAGATATGCACCTGAGAGAACCATTTGTTAAATTGACCAGTCTCTCACCATATCTCAAAATTATATCATAGATGTAATTTTCTTTTCAGTTCACATAAAAAAACGCAAAAATATTGGAAACAAAAGTACTTCATATATTTCCTCATTATGTATTATCAAGAGTGGTTGCATCATAAGTGTGACCAAACAGGAAATGGAGAATCCAATTTACTTTGCCACTTTCTCAAAATACTTGCCATTAGTGGTCTCATTATAAGGCTATTACAGGTGGTGGGGGAAAAGACCACGAATGACACACCTAAACATACCAGGGCAGTGTTTTATTCACTTTGGACATATGTATGGCAGAGTTACATCATGCTACAAGCTACAGCTTGCCTAGATAGACCCATGTGACTGCACCAAACAAGTGGAAACTGACCAGTGGTAACCCCCCCTCCCCCAGATCCCCTTTTCACTGCGAAATCTCAATAGCAGGAAATAAAATGACTCACACACAATATGTACAGCTGTGCATGATGTACAAATACACAGAACATGGTTCTGCAAATGTAAACACAGTCTGAATGAGGCTTGTGTGAAATATTTTTTAAAAATATAATATACCCACAGGGTTTTTTTTTATGTCTAGTGGCTAGTTAGCCAAACTGTTCTTTGAATTGTCTGACTGATATTGAAAAGTATGAATGAAGGCTTTTATGTAGAAACAGACAAGCAAATGGCAAACACAATCAGCCAAAGATATCTTAGGAGAAAGCGAGAATGACAATAGCCACTTTATATTTCATTTTCTCCTCAAGTAATTTCCCTTGCCTTTCTCTTCCTAACTGCTTGGGCCCCAAGTTGTCGTTCATCTCAAGACTGCCATCAATCTGCTGTGAAAAACAATTAGAAACCAATACTCCCAGAGCAGTCTCAAAATCAATTCACTGAAAATACCAATGATGATGCAGAGGCCACTTGGTGTGGGTCAGTTAAACAGAGGCAGGAAAAGAGGTTCCTATGATTTTGAAACAGATGGATTCTTAAAAAAATACACTTGCACCAGGCAGTAGAGCATGCACACATAATCAAGAAAACAATTGTTTTCCAAAAATGGCACATCCCAGACCTGATATTGCCTCATACTTATAGGAACAAAAATGCCACCGAAATTCTTTCCAATTTTGCAATCAAATATCTTCAAGCACACATATATGCTCGAAACTTTATAATCCTTGTGAATTTTTAGAACGCTGATTATTAACAAGTCATTAAACCTTCAATAAAAACTTGTTTTTTTTTTCAATTAGATTATCATCTGTCTAAAATCAAAGCCTGGCATTTAATTCTGTCATATAACTAACAAGGACACAGAGCACTGCAGCTGGCTCAGAAGGCTCATTTTTTTTCCTTTTGTCCCTAGTAGACATATTGTGGAAGTTAGGAGCTGTATATGATCTAAAATTTGATTTTCCTGATCAATAACAATGTATTACATAACAAAGATTTGCACATAGCAACTGAGAGCAGAGTAAATCTTGATTATCATTCCCATATCCTACTTACTTCATTTGCAGGACTTGATAGTACTAAATAAAGTGGTTGGCATACGGTAAATCTATTCCCATTTTCTCTGCAAATGGTATTGGTTTTACACAGACACACTCTGCTAGAAACCAATTACATCAATCCATACTACACCATTCTTTGTTATGGCCGTCTACAGGGAGTTTTACTTGAATAATGCCAAGTAAATTATAAAATCCAGGCACTATGTCAAGTGGGAATGTTTTTGGTAAAAACCAAGCATCAGAGACAAGTGTAAACAGACTTTATTTCTTAAATAACCAATCTCACTTTAAATGCAGCATAAAGAAGAAAAGGCATAAAAAAGACTTATTGAAAATTATACCTTCTTTTTTTTCAAAAACATTTTCTTTTGTTGTGAGTGTCATCTGCTGTTCAAAATGCAGCATTTCCATTTCCTCTTGTTTTCAATTCTCTGGTGTGTGAGGAAAAAAAGGTCAAGAAAGACTGTCTTGAGAAAGCAGACAGATGACATGTATGCTTAGCTGCTCCTATTATTAACAAAACTTGCATCACATTAAGTGATTTACACTTAGATTTGTGCATCATGCCAGAGATTTGGGATGTATTTGCATACAATTTAGTTATCACTTCTACACAAAGGAGCAGGAACTACATATAAATGATTGGGTGCCATGTGTGTCATAACAGTAACTTACAGTAAGGAAAGTTAATCAAGAATGCACATGGCTGACAACCACTTATAACAGTAGACCATCTGCATGCAAAGCAGAATTTTATCAGTACTAATGAGAAAGCAATCATGTGTGTGTCATGTCAAAGAGTATGTCAACATTCCTTTGCTCACGGTGACAGTAGAGGATCAGACAGAGTAAACAAAATGTTCATTTATATTGAGCTATGTGAGTGTACAACACTGCCAAGTATAACTACATGCACCCTTATAGCTTATGGATTTTATTGCCTGTCATGCCTTTAACAAATAAACATATATCTGGTGACATGTAGGGCAGGATTGCCACCAGTTATGTAATATTCTTTCACATATATTTCTCTGGTGTTTAGTGATTAAATCAACCAGCACACACATTCAAAATGATGTGCAAATTATTTCTTCCATATATTTTAATTTTATCACTCATCAAACTTATTTCATTTAGCTCATAGCTACCTGATGTTTTTTTTTTGTGTCAGCTTATAATGATTCTTTGCACATAGATAAAATGCATTTGATAGATGGTTTCTTACGGGTCTATAAACCTATCATCCCCCACCCCTATCTAGCTCATAACTAGTTGGCTCCAGTGTTTTCTTAACCATCTCTCATCAATAATGGGACAAATGCCATTTTGCCTTAGGTTTTTTATTATGAGGGGCTATCAAAAAGTGCCTTAAGCAGTTGACAATTGGCACACCTACAAAACAAGCAGCTGTCAAGCCTGGAAGTTTGATCAAATGATAACTTGTAAACTGACTGGGCTGGGTTTGCACACACAATCAAGCTCTCTTCGAAAAATATTTTCGTAAATACCAAAAACGTGTTATCAGCCTTTGTGTTCACAGTCTAATCTCAATCCCCAATACTTTCCACATTTTTCATAATTCTCCATGTAACAAATGATTGCCAAAAATTATGGGCAGTATTGATTCTATTATCTGAGTGTGGATAAATTTCTCCAGAGGGAACACAGTTTACTATGTAAATTCCTGTGCTTAGCAACTGGTAATGTAGTCTGATATAGTCAAGGTAGAACACAAGGCAAATGAACCTAGGACCATTACAAAGTCCCCAGTAAACAGTACACCAAAGCAAGACTCCTAGCAACAGGCTGTGTGGTTAATGTGGGGCCCTCTATTCCAATACGCTGTTCATACAATTTAAAAGAGAAGCTATTTATCCAAATCCCATTAAGCAATTGCCAGAAATTATTGGGTTTTGAAACCACTAAGGCCGTTAAAGACATAACATTTTAACACATTTCAACTGCGCGGCCTATGTTTGTATATATTTTCATTTACAGCAATGCTATTATCATGATAACAATGTTTTTCAGCAGTCCATCCATCTGTTATTCAATATTTCTTTTCTGTCTTTCCATTCAACATCTAGACTCGAGGCGCCTAAATGGGAAAGTAATAATAAAGTCAACTAAGAAAAACATCCCAAATATAGGAAATCAAAAAATGGCATAACCTTTTTATACACCAGCTATTATGCATCTTTGTGCATCTGTCAAGTTTGGTCGACATTTGCTCAATAATGAGTCCACCGAATCCCTGCTTTCAAACAGTAATGAATGAAGTTATAACCCATGCCATTTGCCAATGTAAGGCTGCTTTTTTCTTGAATGATAATCAATGAAGAGGGCAAACAAAATGTAATCAGGCATTATTTTTGGCCTCAAGAATTAACTAACATGATATAATTTTCTATTGACCATCCACTGACAGCATGAGTCAGTACAAATAACACTTGGCCCAGGCTGCCCTTGGATGACCATATTTTTAACCCCTTTGTACTTAATAATGAAGACATTATGCAATTCCTCTCTCAAAACAGGTGTGTTTTATGCTTGTTAGCAGAGAGTTCATGGAATTTGCTTACGAGATGTAAATTTAGATTCTATACAAGACTCAACTAAAACAAGTAGTATCCTTTTCTTTTATTTGGGGGGGGGGGGGGGGGGGGGGATCACTGGGAGAGGAGATGGGCAGTTTTCATGTATCAGCTTACAGCTTTGAAATTCAAAAAGAGCTACAAAATATAATCATATTTTTGTTATTTCATTTATAAACGACCATAGTTTTCAAAACCATTGTAAAAACACTGTATGTCCATGCACAACAATTCCGTGCCTTCCACACAGAACTGTAATTCATCATGTTTTTTTTCTCATTAAATCCCTGACAAATGCTGGCCATTGCACTGTGGACTTCAATTTGGACTTAATCAAAGAAGGCTAAAATGCTGCCCAAGTGTCCATTGTCACTGGTGCAAAAACCAGTTCTAATAAACAACTTTCCCATAAATGTAATCCAAAGCCCCAGCAGGATCTGAGGCTGATGGCCTTTGAGAAGAGAAAATGTTTCATAAGGTAATGCTGATCAGGAGTCTATAGGGCTGCTGCACGAACAGGAAAACTTCATAGAGGACATGAAACCAGTCAATGTTCATGACACA